ATGAATGCTTTGCACTTTTGCGTGCTTCCCTTTGGTTGTTCATACGTTTGGGTGTATGTATGTATGGTTGTATGTATGCATGTAGATCTGTATGTATGTATATAAATATGTAGCGTATGTATGGCTGGATGTGGATATGTATGTACGTATGTATGTACTTGTGGGTTTTATGTATGCATGTACGTATGTCTGTCAGTGTAGCGTAGGGGAGCTACGTTACAGTCCCCCCCCCCACTTCGGAGGACAAAAGGGAAAGGGTGCCGCATTCCGGGGGTTCGGCCGGTGTGTGTGTCTCTAGTGCAATTTTATTGTACAAATATATATTTAGAAAAAAAAAATTTACATAGAATAAACCATGATTTACATAAATCAAAATGTTAAGCTCCAGACACGTTAGAACTTTTTTTTTTTTTTTTTTTTTTTTTTTTTTTTTTTTTTTTTTGTTACTTATTGCTATACAAAGTATTCTTATTTCAGGTATGAAAGTACATTTCACTTAAAGGTAGAAAAAGGCATAAAAAAGTTGTACATTTCATGCGTATATATATGTGATAAAAAAAAAAAATCTTTCAATTCCATGAGGTGTTTTTGACAGTCTTGGCGGGTTGTATTGCGTAATTAGCTTCCTTCTCAGTCTGTGAATAGCCGGTTAGTGTTCGGAAAATGGTTTCAAATCTTGGAGGTGGGCGTGCGTCTGTGGTCCGTTGGGTCGTTCGGCATGGACGAGTTTGACCGAATTCGTGGAAACGTAGCAGAGGATGATGTAGGGTCCGGAAAACTTGGGTGCGAGTTTTTGTGCGAAGTGCCCGATTGCTGAAGAGAGGGGGTGATCCCTCTTCATTACTTTGTCTCCAATGTTCGGTTTCCAGGGGCGCCTACGTAAGTCGTAGTATTTCTTTTGCTGTTTGGCGGCCGTGGCGAGGTGTTTAGCGACTTCTTTCCACAGTTCTGTAATGTCAGGGCGTGCGGTGGGAGGTTCTATGGGGGTTGGTCCTTCTGCCCGTATCTGCTGCGGTGCCGCGAGGCTGCGGCCGAAGTTTATTTCGGCGGCCGAAGCTTGCGTGGATTCGTGCTGCGCTGTGTTTATGGCGAAGGCTATTTCCGGTATTTCCTGGTCCCAAGTTCGGTGGTCTTGTTGTGATCTTTGTCCGATCATTGTCTTGACGACGCGGTTGACTCTTTCGGTGGGATTTTCATGAGGGGCGTATGCTGCCGTGAATCGATGTTCGATATGGTGGTTCTGGAGAAATGTAGCCAAGGTGGTCGAGGTAAACTGTTTACCGTTGTCGCTAAGAAAAACGGTCGGACATCCAAATCGGTAAATCACCCTTTCTCGTAGAGCTTTGATTACGGCTGAGGCGGTGGCATTTCGGACGGGTACCAACTCGATCCACTTGGAAAATTTATCCACCAAGACTAGGAGGCATGTGTTGCCCTGTTTGGAGCGCGGGAGGGGTCCGATGAAATCGGCGGTGACGATTTCCCAGGGTCGTGAGCACTGCATCGTAGCCATCAATCCTGCCGGGCGTCGTTGCTCCACCTTGTATGCTGCGCACGTCAGGCACCCACGCACATGGTTGCTTACATCTCGATACATCCCCGGCCAGTAGTAATTTTCTTGTGCACGTTTGAGGGTTTTCCCGATCCCGAGGTGTCCTGCCGCGGCGGCGTCGTGGACTTCTTTAAGGATCTTTTTCCTTTGGTTAGCGGGGATGCAGAGCTTCCATTGCGGGGCACGGGAGAGTGGATTTGTTGGTGCTATATGTCGGAATAGTCGGCTGTTGATCCACTGGTAGTCGGGGTTTTGTTCGGGTTGCGTCTGAACTTGGTGTGTCTTCCTGTCGTACCAACTCGTACGTTGGCTATTCAAAGCGAACAGTAGGTCTTCTTCTGTGCTGGGGGCTGGCAGCGGGCACCGTGATAGTGCGTCAGCCACCACGTTTAAAGATCCCTTTCGGTATTCGATCTCGAAGTTGTATTGTTGTAGCTCAAGTGCCCATCTGGCCAGACGCCCGGAGGGGTTTTGTAGCGAATGGAGCCACTTGAGGGAGTGGTGGTCGGTGATAACAGTGAACTGGTAGCCTTCTAAGTATGGTCTCATTTTTCGAATTCCCCACAGGACAGCCAGACATTCTTGTTCCGTAGCTGAGTAACGCTTTTCTAAGTTTGACAGACTTCTACTGGCATAGGCCACGACTTTCTCTTGATCCGAATGGCGCTGAAATAAGACCACGCCGAGTCCTTCTCCGCTAGCGTCGGTTTGTAGAAAAAATGGTTGGTTGAAGTCTGGGCAGCAGAGTATTGGTGCGGAAGTCAGTTTTTCCTTGAGCGCCTCGAATGCGTTGTTCTGTAATTCGCCCCATGTCCAAGTTTGGTTCTTTTTGAGTAACTGGTTGAGGGGTGCCGCGAGTGTGGAGAAGTTAGCGATGAAGCGGCGGTACCAGGAGGCAAGTCCAAGGAAGCGGCGAAGCTCCTTGATGGTTCGGGGCGCAGTCATTTCCCGTACCGCGGCTACTTTTCCAGGGTCGGTGTGTATCCCTTCAGAGCTGACGATGTGTCCCAAGTAATGTAGTTTTTGTTGTACAAAACTGCATTTCTCGAAGTTGATTTGCATTTTGTGGTTCTGAAGTCTATGAAAGACTTCGCGTAAGTAGGTCATATGTTCGGTGAACGTTTCGCCTAGCACGATGATATCGTCTAAGTAGGCGAACACTTTTGGTTGCAATTCCGGGCCGAGTATAGAGTCGAGGGCGCGTTGGAAGGTGGCTGGGGCGGAGTGTAGTCCGAAGGGCATTACCTTCCATTGAAAAAGTCCTCGGCCGGGAACGGTGAAGGCGGTATATGGCCGAGACTTCTTGGCTAACGGTATCTGCCAGTAGCCGTTCTTTAAGTCGATGGTTGAGATGTACTTTGCTTCTTTTAGCTGGTCCAAAATGGCTCCGATTTGAGGCAGTGGGTACGCGTCGGGTTCACTAGCGGCATTGAGTTGACGATAATCAATGCACATCCGCCAGGTTCCTTGTTTCTTTCTGACTAGTACAATTGGTGAGCTGTATGCGCTCCTGGAGGGTTCTATCCGGTTAGCGGTGAGTAATTCGTCCACTTCGGTATTTATTACCTGCTGCATGGCGGGATTGCGCGGGTAGTAGCGCTGCTTCAGCGGTTGGTTGTGTCGCAGTGTAATGATGTGTTCGGCGGCTGTACTTGGTCCGGTGATTTTGGAGAACAGCGTTTTGTTGTGGTCCAAGAAGTGTGCCAATTCCTGATTTTGTTCCTCATTTAAGTGAGCCTGTTCTGTTAGGCAACACAAGGTGGGTGTGGGCCTCGGTGACGTGTCGGGATTTAGTGGCTGGCCGTCTAAGGTCACAACAATGCCTCGCTTTGACAGGAAGTCCATTCCTAATATCATTCGTTCTGCCAGGTTCGGGATCACTGCTACCGCCGTGCGTGTGAATCGCTCGTTATACTTGATTCTGACGGGGTAGGTGTGTGTACTGGCAACGCATGTCTGATCCGCGAGTTGGACGTTCCGCTTATTAGGCTGGGGTTGGATGTTGAGTCGCTCTAAATGCACGCGCGTGCTGTCGTCTACGTATGTTAGAGTGGCTCCGGTGTCCACCAGTGCTCGTACGTGTAGGCCTTCGATGGTGACGTCGGCGTAGAAGCGACCGTCGATACTTCTCCATTCGGATTGCACTGTAGTGGCTTGGGCGATGGGTGGCGCGGTATTGATTGATTTGGGGCATGGGCAGTTTCTGGAGAGAGTTCCATCTTGACCGCAACGGGAACAGGACAGTCGCCGTGGGTAGTGACAATGGTAACGCTGGTGCCCACGCCTTTTGCAGCGCCAGCAGGTGTTCCTTGCGTCGTACCGGTTACTTATGGTGGAAAGGCTGTGTGCCGCTTGTCTACTTTGTCTAGCTTCTTCGTTTTTGAGAAGTTCATACTCATCGGTGAGCTCCATGAGCTCCTCGATGGTTTGGAATTCGCTTCTTTTTACGAAGAGTCGGTATTCGACTCGCAGACCGTCATAAATACGTTCTAGGTGGTTTTCGTGGCACATGACCGGATGTTGTCGAATGAGTGTCTGCAGGGCGAGGATGTAGTCCTTGGCCTTTTCCCTGTGCATCTGTTTCCGCTGGCGAATTGCGTCTTCTAGCTGCGTTATGTGTCGTTTGGGCAGAAAAAATTTTTCCGCCCCGGCACGAAATCTAGCCCAGGTGGTTATTTGTTGCCTCTGGACGCGGAACCATTGAAGTGCTTTACCGCGTAAAATCTCGGGCAGGGTTGGGAGGAGTTGGTCTGGCAGGATTTGATAGCATTCTGCCAGTTCCCCAATCCGATCCAAGAAGTCGTGCAGGGCATCGCCGCCGGAATAGTGTACGTCCCAACGACGGACAGTACTCATTACTTCGGCGTTACTAAACCTGTCTCGCTGAGGAGCTGCTAGTTTTGCTCCTCCGGAGTGTAGGAATGATTCGTCCAGTTTTATGGCTGGGGTGACTTCGGGTAAGGACTTCGCTATACTGGCTTCTTCAGCGGTGATCTCCATTTCTAGTTCTTTTAGGAGATTTTCGGTTGATCTTCTACTTCGCTTGGTTTTGATGAAGTGGCTTAGAGCACTCCGTAACTCTGCGACTGTGTTCCCTTCAATTGGTAACTGGTGTTGTCTGCATTCCTCCACCAATCTCTCTTTTTTCAGTAGGTATATCCAGCCCAGAGAGTCGGCGTTCAGCGTTGCTGTGTCGTTTTCGCTCGTCCGTGTGTTATTGGTTGGTTGTGGTGTGTTCGATGAACCCGCTTCGACAGGGTTGGTGCTTGTTGGTGCTTTTGCACATGCGCCTGCAGAGCTGGGTCCCTGCTCGGGCGCCATTTATGAGGTGGGTTTTATCGAAGGCTGAGGTAGCTCAGCCGCTCCAGGGTTGAGTGGAGGTCCCACTAACCCCCACTGAATAAAATAAACACAGTAGTTAAATATAGCGAACACAACCACACACACACGCGGCCGTTCGGCCAGGCTGCCGGTACCCTGACGTCCACGGAGAGAGGGGAGAGAGAGAGAGAGAGAGCGACTAACTGGTCGGCGGTCGGCGTCGTGGCTCAGAGAGCGGAGACTGTCTAGTGGCTAGTGACGGTGGCGGTGATGTTGAGAGTGGTGACGGTGAGAGCGGTGATGGTTCGGTGATTAATGACAGTGAGAGCGGTAGCGAGCGTGATGATGGTAAATGCTCACAGCACGGGTACTGCAGCCAATGAGAGCGACGATGCTGATCGTGATGGCAGTAGCAGTCCCTTTAGTAGTGACGGCCCTGCGGTGATGTTGACGGTGGCCCAAATAGTGGTGAGGGCGGTAGCGACCTCCCGTAGTGAGAGCAGTATTGGCGGCCCTAGTTATAACAACGGGCCTCTGATGAGTAACGGCGGTGACAGCGGCCCTGGATGGCGATGATGTTAGCGGCAGACAGCAAGTAGCGGTCCTCGGTAGCGGTTTGGCCTAGGGGCGGCAATGATATTGGCGGCCCAATGGTGAGGAAGGCGGCAGTCCGGCCCTAATGAAGGACGACGGTGACAACGGCCCTGGATGGCGATGATGTTGCTAGCGGCCCTGAAAGGTGGCGGCTCTTGGTGTTGCGTTCGGCCTGGGGCGGCAATGATATTGGCGGCCCAATGGTGAGGAAGGCGGCAGTCCGGCCCTAATGAAGGACGACGATGACAACGGCCCTGGATGGCGATGATATTGCTAGCGGTCTTCGTTAATGACAGTCGGTGGCGGTTCCTCGTTGTAGTCTTGGCCCAGGGCGGCACTTAATATTGGCGGCCCGAAACGGTCACGGAAGTCACCTACGGAAGCTACGGAAGCTGGTCGTCAATATGTTCTCACAAACCACCAACCTGTCCCGTAGGCAGAGCCAGGGGCGCTCGAGGTTACACGGCCTAATCCGTCCCGATGCGCTCCGTGCCTACCTACGGCAGCTTGGCCAGTCTGTATTCCCCATGTGCAGAGCCAGGGGCGCTCGAGGTTACACGGCCTAAGCCGTCCCGATGCGCCCCGTGCTTACCCATTGGGGTGAGACGGTACGTATTCGATCGTGGTGGCTTGACATTGTGGGGCGGTTTTATCCGCCGCACAATGCCCGCTCGCCACGCGGTATCTAAGTGGGCAGGAGAGTTCGTCTCCTGTCCACTGAGACCGTTTTTTTTAAATAATGGGTTTGGGGGTCTGTGCGAGGGGTATTCCCCCTTTCACAGGCCCCCCTCAACCTCTCGGCCTTGCCCGCAGGACAAGCCAGGGCGCTCGAGGTTACACGGCCTAAGCCGTCCCGATGCGCTCCGTGCTTACCTACGGAAGCTGGTGCTGGCTGAGTTGGCGTTAATCAACTTAAGTCGGTTGTTGGATAAGCAGGTTGAGAAGCGAATGAAGATCGTGATTTTTGGCATGTTTGAGCAACGAATTCTCGCTGAGTATTGGTGTGTATGAATGCTTTGCACTTTTGCGTGCTTCCCTTTGGTTGTTCATACGTTTGGGTGTATGTATGTATGGTTGTATGTATGCATGTAGATCTGTATGTATGTATATAAATATGTAGCGTATGTATGGCTGGATGTGGATATGTATGTACGTATGTATGTACTTGTGGGTTTTATGTATGCATGTACGTATGTCTGTCAGTGTAGCGTAGGGGAGCTACGTTACAAGTTTAGACGAAGACTTGGGCGTTCCACTAATAGCAAATTGTCTCGAAATAGGTTTTTAGATATAAAAAGAAGCCTCCACTTCGGTGATAATTCGCAAGCCGAAAACTCTAATGATAAAATGTTCAAGGTAAGAAATTTGTGTAACCTAATACAGAAAAATTTGTGCCAGTGGGAAGTATTTCACGAAAACTTATCCGTCGATGAGTCCATGATCAAATATTTTGGCCGACATTCAGCAAAACAGTTCATTATGGGAAAACCTGTGAGGTTCGCATTTCGAAACTGGGCAGCAACTAGTTCGGACGGATATTGTTATGCATTTTAAATATATTGCGGCAAATCGACAGAAGTTTCTTCCGATCCGTTTGGCACGAGAGTCATAAAATCTCTGTTAGAAAAAATACCGATCAACCCAGAAGAGCTTATTGTTTACTTCGATAACTTATTTACGCATTACCAGTTGTTGGTGGATTTAGGTCGTTTAGGTCAGGCCTTCCCAAAGTGGGTGAGCGTATGCCTGGGGTGCCGCTAGTGGGTAGAGTATACTAGTGGTGCGGGCAAATTCTTTAGGCGTTCCATATACAACGCAAGCGGTTTGATTAAACTTCAACATGGCGGCCAGAAATTCAAAAATTTTTGATTTTTATTAAAATTACCTTCAGCGGCTCGTCAAACCCCATACAAAACACAAATAGCTTGCAGCAAAGGGATATTTCGCTCTTAAGAGTAGTTCCCAAGTACATTTTGCCAACGCCAAATTGAATCAGAAAAATTTCAGAAAAATTCGAGAAAAGTACCCTTTTTACAACCACTTTCGGTATCTTTGTAGACCTAATCCGCGTTTCACCCACTTTTCTTCCATTTCCGGTTTTCGGATTGATTTTCGGATTGATTTTCGGATTTTTTGCTGGCTGGGATGTTCTCTTAACAAGCGCAGCAGTTTCGAGCAGGTGTATATATTACTTATTCTTTGGAGCTTCACAATCACACTGTCAAAGAGCGAATCAACACGATTTTAGAGGCAGTCTTCTCGTGTTAGTGAGGTGCCCATTCGCAATGCAAATCGAAGGAGAACGAAGTACTTTAGACTTACGCCACTAGCGACGAAATTTTTAAAGCTATCGACAAATTTGTACAGAACAATGGTTTGAAATGGCGCAAGTGTGCGGATATTTGCGGTGATTTGGAAAACCGAAAGGAGCGATGTCTTGCATGAAGCAAGATGCAGGAAACGCCACGAGAAGTCACTGGATGATCCCTCGGTATTCTCTGGCGATTAGGAAGATGCCGCCACTAGATTTAAAGCCCGAATTGGATGACGCTGCGAAGATAACGGAATTAAAATACATCTCTGGTTTTTTCTAGGACGTCGAGATTTTTTTTTGCTGGTGACTTGTATATTTTAGAATTTCTAGCAATTTGCATGAAAACCCGATAAATAAACAAAGTGATCAGAAAACGTATGTAATTTCGTTAATGCTAAGAAAATTGATAACAGCCGGTTTCACTAGCAATTTCCATATAAGGTTCCAAAATTTATAATCATGTATCACTTAAATTGCTTTCGCGAAATTAGCTGTAAGAATTATTTTCTTAGCGTTAACGCGCATTAGCAGCGTTAACTTACAAGGTTTAGAAAAAACCATTGTCGAATAATTTCCCAACGTTGACTCTGAGGATGGGTTCAGCTGGATAACAAACCCGTTTTCATGTGGCCCGAAAAGTAAACGTACTGAGATGACCAATTAAGCTTTTTAAAACCTTCTGGACATCAGTGAAGACAGCACTTTGACTATTAAATACTACGAAGGGAGCCAAGAGAGTTCTGGATGCTAGTGTATGCAAAAAACACTGCTGTTGGCAAGATTGCATTAAAAATACTAGTGACTTTTAGGACCTTATTGTGAGTTGCATTCGATTTTCGATCTTCGTTGAGTATCGAATTTTCTGTCGAACAGAATTTTGCTTTCGATGGTGTAGCGAAGTGTTAGAAAATTGAGAAAGATGTACTAGACATTATTTTTAAACATTTTTTATTAATTTCATGCAGTTCTAACGTCGTGAACACACGCTCGAAAAGCTGGCGAAAGAAAATCCCAATACTGAGTTGACACGATCTCTGAGAACAAAATCGTGTGCTGTTGATAGTTTTAAAATGTTTTAAATAGATTTGGCTCAAAACGCCTCTTTAGACACAGTCGGAAGTTTTTAATAAATCTGTAGACAAATTTCTTAAATATATTTTATGTCAAAACTTATTCGAAATACTACACGTAAACCCTCTTAAACATTTTCTACTCCTGGCCAGTTTACCAAGCTCTCATCCTCTGACGAATCGTTGAACCAGAACTCGGTTGTGCTCATTTTACCACGTTTTTATAAACTCGCTTTCTTTTTTATTTCATTTTAGTTTGCACAAATTTACATACATATGTATAAGCACACTATCTAGTTCGCTCGATTTGTAAACAAAACTTCTCAGCGGTGAAAAATATACTATTGTAAACAACCTAACCGAGCGAAATTCACAATAGCGCTATTCTTCATCGAATGAGCGCCATAATACCAAATGAAAATTCGTTCGATCAGCACTTTCGACCACAGTCGCATGCAACTCATAATAGGGGCCTTACTTTTACATTTCTATGTGAGGCTGCATTTTCAACAAATGCTTACATAAACAAGTAATTTTAAAGCAAAAAAAAAACCGATTTCATCTCCCATCTAAAAATTTAAGATTATCGTTAATCTCTTCATGATCCAATGATCGCATTTAAACCAAATTAGACCACCTGTCAGGTAACACCTTTCCTTTAAAAAAGAATTATAGTAATCGGTTAACGTGGTCCAAAGTTATGCGGAGACATACATAAAAAAAAAATAATTAAAAAATATTCCGACGAATTGATAACCTTCTTTTTGTGAAGTCGGTTTAAAACAAATGCACCAGCAAGCTTTCAGCGTCAAATGATTTCAGGCTAAAATTGTCAAAGCTCCCAATAAACTCAAAGGAAATAATGAAATCATCAAAACAATTTCAGTCCTCACATTAAAGCTAAAGGAACATAAAGTTTGCATTGTCTTTTCTTGTTTTCGTAGACATTTGAAGAGTAGGGGTGCCGCGAAATTTTTTTAGCACAACAAGGGTGCCGAGGTGAAAAAAATTTGGGAACTCCT